TGCACATAGGTATCTTTAGGATAACTGGGTGAGTTAGAGCTTAAAAAATTAGGCATTAGATAGTATAAAACTTGATAATGTAGCTTGTTTTCAATGAAAAGCAAACCTAAATAAAGTCATGACATGACTGCTGAAGAAAAAAAAAAAATAGTCCCTACTGTTTGTAATTACATGAAGAGTATACAACAAGTTACATATATAACTTTAGTTATTATCTATTTAAGTAGTTTATTATACAAGCAATTAGACTACCTAATTAGTTCTACACTATGCTGCTATATTTGTAATCTGCCTGTGAGTTACTTATTTAAACACTCTGTTCATTAATCTATACAGATCTAATCTAATATCACTACAACACCTAACTACTTAAGCTAGCTAGCTTATTATAGATCTATTTATTCAAAACAACTTAGATCCTCTTAAAATATATTGTACCTAACATATTATAGGTATTGCAGAGCTAGTTAATCTTGAAGCATACTTACTAGAATAGTTCATATCTATTTTACAAATTTATCTAGCTTAGACTCTTGTAGATGTTTATACAATTTTAGTTCCTACTGTAGCTTTTTACTAGTTTTCTGTATTCTATCTTCTCAGATATTTTACAAAGCTGATTCTTCTAATTCAATTAGCTACCAAGCCAAGTTAGTGTTACTAATTCTCTCTTAGAATGAATTTATACATATTTGACTCGATCTGTATCTTTTAATAATAGTTTTTTTTCTAGATTAAGTATTAGCTAGTATAACTATTGAAAGCTATACTATATCACTAACTTAGAATTTCTACTATGCAGATCTCTTTTTCTACTTTTTCTACTTTTTTTAAAAAGTTATATTAACTCTTTTTTTTCTTCTTCATATAAAATAAGTTCTAACTACAAGTTCTGATATCCTTTAGTTAGTACTCAATAAGTTTTGTACAGTTCTAAAATAATATAATACTCAATAAAGTTTTAAGTTCTTTATTAATTCTTTAATAAAAATAATCTTTCAGCTTTAAAAATAAACTTTATTAACAAACTGTTACAGTAATATAATATTCTATTTTGATACTATTAGAAGTTTTCCTTTTATATTTTATATTACTTAGGATATATTAAGAAGGCTATATTACTGGTAATAATAATATTATTATATTTTAGTTATACTATTAGTTATATTTATTAGTATTTGGTTATTTTTTATATTGTATTATTTTAATATAAGTATTTTAAAGTAGAGAAAATTATTGTAAACATTTATCTCTAAGTGAAGTCTCTCAAAAAGCATTTATAGTAAAAATACCCTTAAATAACTTTGTAGTCAAGAATATTAGCTATATAATTATATAAGTTAAATCTAAAGTTATTATGTAATATTTAAAGAAAACATAGGCTATAGCCAGAAAATACTATGCCAAAACTGTGCTAAACTATGTTGAGTATTGTACTAAACTGTACTGAATACTTTGCTAAAGACTGTGCCAAAACTATGCTAAAACTACACCAAATACTATACCAATACTATGTCAAACTGTACTGAAAAACTGTATCAGACTATGCTGAACTATGCTAAGTACTGTGCCTCTTATTGTATCAAACTATTAATAATGATATTCAACTGTCACTTGTATGAAAGTTTAAGTAATCCTTGCACAAGATGCTTATATGATACTTTACTGATGCTTACATGATGCTTGCTAAAAATTATAAATACAAATAGAATTCCTGCTCTTGCCTTTTAGTTGTTTAAACCTCAACTTCTCTTTTCTTTCTTGTACTTGACTCTAAATATTTATAATTAATAAATATATTGTTATTAAATAAACCTAAACAGACTACCTCTTGTAAAGTAGAACTTGTCTTTACAATTAGTTAAAGAAACTTCCCTCTTGGACACTACTTCTTAAAGTAATTAAATAGCCATATCACTGTTACTTATAGTGTACTAAGAAGGCTACACTATCTGTAACACTACAATTATATAATCCTTATTGCTCAAGAACAGAATTATGACGATAACCAGAAATATTCAGGATCACGGGTCTAATTCATATCATACGTATTGATAACTGGTGTTTGGCAAAGTTTTTTTTTTAAAAAAAAAATGTTACTGGATTTTGATTAATTTGTAACGGAACGCAATAAGCCAAGCTATATATACTGTAGTGCAACTGAAAAATCAAGTATCCTAATGATGAACATTCTTAATTAAATCGTTCAATAAACTTCAACTAGATATAAGGTACCACACCAAGAAGTTATCTTAAGCCAGGCGATAATCCAAATTGTGATGTAAAAATACATAATGCGATCTTGTAAATACTGAGAATCCACGAAGTTTTTCAATCACAGATTATCTAGATAAATTAGAAAAAGTCGTAGATTACCAAGCTACATGTAGAGTTCTAGAATTAATTTGGGCTGCCGTTGACATTTCAATATGTAAACATTCCAGAAAATGAAATAATAAGGAAAATAAATATTATTAGAGTTTGGTATCGTTATTTTTGCTGGGCCGGCTACTGGATAGGACATAAAATTGGTATTCAACGTGGGAACTGTGAAATGCAAATAAAAAACCTCGATTTTATTTCTAGTTGCTAGAAAAAATAATTATGCTAGATCAGTACTTGCATCAAATGAAAACGAATTAAAATATATTCAAAACAACAATGTTAGTGAAATCTCATTAGAAAGTTCTAAAAAAAGATTTCATTCCTAAATTTTTTGGACCAAGATTGGATTTTATTTTCTGGTTTATGTTGAAGACAATCCACATCAGGAATTGTTTCAAGTGTTTGCTCAATAAATATTACCTAGCCTAGACACTAGTTTGCATTTGACAAAGACTAGAAAGATTTGGATTTAAGTTCATAAAACAAAATATTGAAGAAATTACAAATAACTTTGTATAAGCAGAGCATAAAATATTAGAACTATCAATGCAGTAATGTCAGAATACATGGAAGACAATTGTGAATAGAGAGAAGAAATTAGAGCAACATGAAAGAGAGTGTTGTAGGGTTAGCTGACTAGTTGCTTGCTACTATTTTATTAACAAATCCAAAAACACACGAAATTTTTGCAAATATAACTTCATAAAGTTTTCAAATTATTTTTATGTTATGATCTCGGGATGGCCTGACTTATTACCAGGATGTTCATAAAATTAATTCTCGAAATACACAAGGGCATCGTAAATATAATGTAGTTAAAAGCAGAACACGAAGGCAGCAAACGCAAATAACATAGACCAAGAGACCAGTTGAAGATACAGCAAAGGCAGAAGTGCCCACGCAGACGTACAACAGATAATGAAAAGAAACTATTGACAATTTAATCATGACTCTTTTCCGGATATAGCTATCGAAGTCTTGAGACGAAAAAAATTTATAATAATAAATCAATTTGTTCTATCTCTGATAATTGAAATCACTCTATTTTCTTTCCCCTTTGTAAAAAAAAAATAAAATAAAATAATGAAAATACGTAGGTTATCTCTTTATTTATAAGACCCTTTCGCACACCTTTCGCATGATGTTTGATTTATTTAATTTGGAATTATGACAACAATATGGTTTTGCGGTAACAGGTTATTATAGAATTATGTTCGTATTGAAGGCCTGATTTATTATTTTTAGTTGTACGTAGTACGAACTAAACTGTGTAATTCCAGCTATTACAGTATCAGGTATGTATGTAAATATTATGTTAACTTGGAATAGTTTTAATGAACCAACCATTGATATTTATTCTTGGATTATAGTTTACCTTATTAAAACTAGACAACTTATTCTCATAACAAGTGAATTCAATTATTGGTAAAACTCAAGAATCCCGGCGAGATATTTATTATCCTCATCTCTATATAGTAAAAGAAGATGGTTCTTATCACACATAGGATAGAAGACCGTATAGACGCAGTAATGAGTTATCAACTACTGGGGCATTTGAAAAGGTAAAATTTTTTAATTAAAAAAAAAAGAAAGGATTAAATTATTTAAAGTACCAATTAACAACCTCTCCTAAAAATTCTTGTTTTTCGATACTGCATTTGATAGGTTACTGTATATATAGATAATATAGATAACAGTTTTTGCTCAAAACTGTAAACGTGAGTCTCTTGAACCGGTTCAAAACCAGTTCGAACCATAGATTTCCTTTGACAAAACACAAAATTAATACCTTGGAGTTTTTGTAGACCTTTGAAAAAAAAAATTCATATGTAATTTATTATAAAAATCTCCGGGTCAGTTTTTTAATGTTTTTATATAGAAATCAAGAAATTAATTTTGTGTGGCCAAATCTAGAAAATATTTATAAAAAAAAAAAACTCTTAATTTTAAAACATTAAAGAAATAATATTAACAACGAAAAGTTATACCGATATAATAATATGGGGGTGAGAGGGACAAATCATTTTTTAGTGAAATTTTTTTTATAAAATATCTCTTATCAAATTTAATAAAAATTTTTTTATAAAAAAATTTTTATAGGATTTGCTTTAGTAGTTGTTGAAATATCTTATTCTACACTTGAAAAAATATTTAGAAAAAATTTTTCCTTTTTCTATTGACTTCCTCTCATATATTTAATCGCAGATCATTGGACATATTTGGTGACTGATAAGAAAATTTTTATACAAATTATAAAAGTATCTCTACAAATTGCCTATGAGACTATTTGCAGAGCTTGTTCTAAACTCGATTCGTTTATTTAAATTATAGTTATAATAAAGATAAATAAAATAATTCACACTAAAATAGGTAGTACCAGTATTAAGATTTTATCAAAATTTGGCATCATTTCTTTAAATACAAAAGTCCTTCGCTATTGTAGACAGCTCCTAATAAATAAATGAAATACAGAGAATAAAGAATGTATAATAGATACATCAAAAAATTGTTAATAATATTTAAAACTTCAAGTATTAGTTTCGTTTACAATCACCTTTCACTGATAAAGTCCAAATTACAATACTAATAATACTAATGTAAAAATAATAAAAGATTCATTCAAAAGATTCTCAGCATTTAAAAAATAAATTTAACATTCTAATATGAAAAGACAAATAAATCTCAAAACCATCAACAATATATCTTTACAACTGAATCTGCACCACCACTTGCTATCCATGGTAAAGATGGATGATATTCAACACATAATACACCCTCGTCAGATTTTCGTCGATGTGATACAAACTCTTGAACACATTGTTTTGTTGATACAATATCCCACAAACGAATAGAGCTATCATGACCTTTATAGAATTTTGTTGTTAGAATATTAGTAACCAAATTAACCAGATTTAACTACATAACGCATAAATTTCAAAACAAGTCATACCTCCTGATATCAATACCATTCCTGATGGATCAATGTCAAGCGTTGTGACTGAATCCAGATGGGCAAGCATTGAGAAATTACATTTACCTGCAAATAAATAAAAACTAAATATATAACTTATGTAATATTTTTTATTTTGTTAAATTAATCTTTAAATCTTACCGCTGTTGACATCAAAGATTCTAATATATTTATCCTCATGTGCCGAAAATAATAATGACATGGTAGGATGGACAATTATACGATTAATTTGTGTTGCTGGTGTTTTATCGTATGTTTCGTCACTATTAAAGGTAACAATGCTTTGTCCTGTTTCAATGTCATAAAGTCTGATTATTGAAGTTTGGAATGAAACGGCTATTTTCTTAAGATCATTATGGACAAAGTCAATAGACGTAGGTATTGGAGGACGAACTAATAATATATAAGCGAATAATGGTAAATTTCAAAGAAATTTTTTAAAAACTTCAGATGTTAAGACAACTATATACCTCCGTTAACTGGTATTTCACAATTGTTGCCGTAATATCCCCATGAACTTTTCAAGGGTGATCCTTCAACTTCCGTATTCCAAATCTTAACCGTCCCATCAGCAGATGCTGATGCCAAAAATTGAGAATTTAGGTTACGAATAGGAAACAACCTTAAATCCCATATAGCATCTGTATGACCAATGTAGGTAGTCAAGTTCAACGGAGAGTCTATAAAATAAGAATTAAATCCTTAATGAGAGAAATTTTCCTACAAAAATATAATGCTAATATATATATATATTTAAACCTACAATTACCTGTAGGTCCATAAGTCTCTCGTTTTGGTGACGGTAAATTCCATACGCGAATTGTAGAATCCATACTAGCTGAATAACATCTGCGTTGTTCCGAAGCAATAACAACTGAATTTACAGCTGCTGTATGACCTCTATATGTAGTTATCGGCTCTATATCTGGAGTAGCTGTAGGTCTGATATTTAAATAAGAATGTTAGAAATATGTTAAAATATATACATTTTTGACAATAATAATTTTTGTCGTACTTGAAAGAAACTGGGCCCTTTAAATCCCATAACTTCACAGTGCCATCTTCAGATCCAGATGCAAATGTGAGTTCTGACTTATGCCATGAAACAGAACGGACAGTATCAAGATGGCTATAAAAAAAGAAAAAGTCAAATAAAATAAAACATAAAATTTAGATAATATTCGTATTAATTATAAATAAACAATTAAAAATAATTAATTACTTTTTTAATGTAAATCTTTGCCTCCACATTTTTATATCTGAATTATTTTCTTGTGATTTATCAACCTATATCAGAATACAAATAAATTAATCTACAGAATTCAAGATTTTGAGGTAATGTTTAGATATTTTAATACCTCTAATTTCTCTGTGTTATCTACTTCATCAACTGATAAACTGAGTTCGTCTAATTGAGGATCTGATGTATTAATTGCTATAAAATAATATAAGAATATTTTATTACTAAATGAACCATATTAACTGTATTGACAAAAAGAATATAAATACAAACATAAAATTCCTTGATTCTTTTTCGAAGAATTTTTCATCAGTTTCGAAATTTTTTCATCTGACAGATTAAATTTTTTCTGAACATCTTTTGTCTAAAAAAAAAAAAAAAAAAAAAAAAAAAATTAACATTTAGAAAATAATTATTAAATTTACTTATCATAACATACCAATTGAAATTCCTCTTCTTTGAGTTCATCTGCGTTTTTTTGAAATGGAATCTTATTTCTACCTACACTTTGACTCTGAATTTTCCATGCACCGTCAAAATTTGATTTGTTAAAGGCAGAAGTACCACCATCTTTTTCAAAGTAGTTTTCAACATTTGTATTTGTCTCTAAGCCACCAATTCCATTACCGAATGGAGTCGATTCACCAGGAGTTATATCATTTCTTTGATAATCAAATGAGGATTGATCATCATCAGAAAATCTTCCGTTATTCTTATCTAATTTATCAACAGATCTAGGAAAGAAAGAACCTTCATCTTGCTCAGAAGAAACAGCCTCTAAACCTTCACGTGGAGGAAAAGGATTATCTAATGGTGGACTTGATGAATTTGTTGGTAATATGGGCAAAATTGACGGAGTTGTTGGAGCAGGCCTAGAAGGTCTTATTGCAACATTGCCTAATCTTTTCGGTGGCATCCCATTGTGTGCAGTGGAATTTCCTCCAACCCATATTGCACTATCTCTATGATTTGGAATCGGACGAGTAGTATTAATTCCATTCAAACCAGTTGGATGGCTTAAAAGTCTATTGCTGACAGATGGATTACTAGTCGCAGCATTTGTAAGGTAATCAATTTCTTGCAAGCATCTATAATTTGATTATTAAAATAATATATAAGTCAAATAACAAAAATAATATATTTTTAAAAAAAAAAAAAATTAATAAAAATTTGCAGTTATTAACATACGCTTTAAGAATTTCACGACTTTTGATGCGATAATTAGGATCCCGACTTGATGATGGGCCTCTATGTTGTGAAGATTGGTCGGAAGTTTGAGATAAACCAAAAGTTGATTGGGTATTATTTTGTACTATTAGAATGGGTAATAAATAAAAGGGAAATATATAGAGTTTAATTTTGTGAATGCAAAAAATAATGGTTCATAATAGCTAGAGCTATTACCTATTACCCAGGTCTCTTGACCCGTACGGGTCATGGGTCAGCCCCTAAGTCACTTTCGACCCGAGTAAGAGCTCTAATAATAGCCAAATAAGAAAACTTACGAAAATTTGCAAATTCGCAACTTACGTCCTTCTTCGTTTGCAGTAGTTGATACAGTGGATGATTCCCTTGCTAAAGGTTGTATAGAAGGTATGCCGGCCAAATATTTACTTCTATAACATGAGGCGGTTTGATTTAATTAAGCTGCATTTCTTTATCTATGAATGCTATTTATATTCGTACCTCTCCTGTCTAAGAGCAAATTCTAGCATTTTCACACGCCTCATTAGATTTATTTTCATAGTTTCAATACCACGACGTTCACCTTCTAATAGTGCAATGCGAGCCTTTTTTTATTCAACATAAAAATTAGAAAATTAACAATAAATTAGTAAAATTTTTATTGTTTGGCATTCACCAAAATAAAGAATTCATCATAATCATAAAATAATAGTAATAATAAAAGTAAATATAATTATTTTAAATTTACCTTCATTTCGGCACGCTCAATTTCCCATTCGTTCCTGTCTCGCTCATAGCGCCTCCATTCTGATTGGAGAAAATGAAGTACGCCAGGTAAGGTATATTCTGGTATTTGTGATTGTTGCATCAAATGAAAAAAAGAAGGCCTTTAGGTCTCCAACAAGCGCAGGCGACGATTGAATTTTTGAATCGAAGGAAAAACTAATCGCACCTTTTAAAGTAAGTTAAATCTGTGCGATGTTTGTTCACAGGAGTAGCAAAAAACATCGTTTTGAGATTACCAGCTTCTTTCCTGAGAATTTACTTGTGTAACCACGATTTACCAGTCAAATGTCACTTGCGCAAATATATAATTATTTTTTACTATAAAAATCAGCTATGATCAAAAAGTATGATATATACCGTACTATTTAAAGTAAATAATTATCCCCATACGTACTACGTACGTATTATTGTCATTTATTAACGTTAACATGCAATGTTTTTCGCCTCGTCATTCATTATTTGAAAACCTAAACGTAAATAACTATTAAATTTTATTTAATTGATGAATTAATTTGAACACGTATACTTCGAACCCAGTAACTACCGGTAACTATATATTATCGAAAATATCCATTCGGAATATTATTCGAATAAGAAATGATATAATAAAAAAATAGATAAGGCCATGCAAATTTAATTTATTGGTTCTCGTAACATGAAACTTTTTAAATAGACCCGGCCGGCCCGCTTTTTTTTAAAAAATTTTATATATAACAATTTATAAAAAAAACCACCCGGTTATTAAATACGTATACGTATAAAAAAATTTTTATAAAAGTCAATTAATTAACTTTGCATGGCCTAAGTAAAATTTTTTTTATAATAATATTAATACGTATAAGTAACACGGCATATGGCACCATATCGAATATTAATTTTTGTACGTTGCACAATTTTTGAGATGAATAATTTTAGTTAATATTTTATGTACAAAATTTTATTGGACAATCCGGAATGTATCTCATGTCCAAGATGTCACATTTTTCCTTTCTAGAAATTATAAAGAAAGTTTAATAGCAATAGGTAAATAATATTATTTATCATTTTTTTACGTGATAATAAGACATTAACATGTGATACGACGATTTGGAGGTACGAGCCTAGTTGTTCCCATTCTTGATGTGACGACAATGAGAAAAGTCTGAATGCGCAGATCTGTGGATACGGAACGGGATTATAGCAGATTAGTACGTAGGCCATACTAATCTAACACCGAGAAATCGGGCCTGTACCAGACTTGTAGATCTGCACCCATTGTACTTATATTTACATTCAGGAGGTTTTCGAATTATCTTCGTCAAACTTTTATTATCACATGAATTCAAAAAAATTCTTTCTAATCCGTTTATCTATAATAAACATGAAAAAAAATAAAGAAATACAACATTTTACTTCTAATAGTGATGCGATCCGAAATCCGTCAATCCAGAAAATGTGTACCAGATTGGAATGACTAAACATTTTACATAAAATATCAGCATTTCCAAAACATTTTCAATAAAAGTTGGTAATTTTTTTATTTCAAAATTCTTAAATAGAAATAGGTCATCTAGAAAATATTAAACTATGTAAAAGTAAAAACACGAAAGAAAAGCAACATACTGTATAATTTATAAAATTAATTGTTTTTTATGTAGATTTAGAATTTATTTTTCTATGTATTAATGAATTCGAAGTTTCAATTTTTTAACTGTAATCCAGCTACTGTGGCGCACCAACCTGATACCAAATGGGGCTACATCACATAGTTTTCATCCACGTAAATTATTATTATTTGTCGGATAAAACGGGTATCCTTCAGCAGATACGTAGCAGATTCAAGAATCCGATCCGGATCACATCACTAACTTCTAGATTCACTAGAGATTAAAATAGTATTTAACTAGTTTTTTTTTAATTATATAATAATAATATATAAAATCTTATCGGTATGTCGAAAAAGATAAGTTAGTGTTACGTCTACGTACTCTTAAAAAAAATAGTAAAAATTAATCTACAAGTCACTCTCTTTATAGTGAAGTGATCCGTTCCATTAATAAAAATTTTCAAAAATTCACTATATCGAGAGCTTTATTAGTAAATTCACTATATCGAGAGAATTTTATATAGACTGGCTTTGAGCTTAACTTCACTATATCGAGATTTTAATTAGTCTTCACTATATCGAAAGTTCACTATAACGAGAGTGACTTGTATATGAAACTTCAAATATAATTATGTTCCAATTATGACCCAATTTACAATATGCAGAATATAATAATTATTCTTCACGTTCATCATTTTATGAGTTGTAATATTACATATCGATATCGATATTAATAAGCAAATAAATTTTATCATTAATTTTACCGGTTTGTTTCTTATTACTATTACTTTTTTCTTTAGAGTTATTATCAAAAGTTTGTTTAGTATCATTATCAATATCTTTATTCCAACTAGAAAAAATATCTTCATCATGAACGTTGTTATTTGGATCTGTTACGTTTTTTGTTCTAGAGAGCTCCATACCCGGGGGAATGTTAATTCAAATATCCAGAAAAATAAAACTTAAATTTCTGAATATTCGGAGAAGTATGATTTGCACGGGGTAATTGAATAAAAAAATGTTGATATTTGTTTCATGATAAAGATTCTACAGATAATAGAATTTAGAATATATATAATAAGTAAAAAATAAAAGTAAATTAAATATTAGTAATCTCATTAAACGTGATATACCAACTTAATACATTTAAATTAAAATGTAATAACTCAAATTTTTACATATTAACTTGCAATCTAATAATCTAATAAATATATTTAATATTTGTATATTTATAAAAAAAAATTATACTTATTTTTGATGTTGTTAATTTTTTTTTAAAAAAAATTAAAAAACTAAAACTGTTTGATATATTTATTAATTAGCCAATTAACATTATGTATTTTTGTACTACTATACAAGTGCTTTGGTGTAATCTTAATATATAAATTTGTAAAATTTTATATATAATTATTATCCCTTAATCTGTAAGCTATTTCAGGCAAATTTGCCTAGAAAATTTATGTAACAATACCTATGATCTATATTTTTATAAAATTAATATATTTAAACAAAAAATTTTTTAATAATATTTGAAAATAAGGATTATATAATTGTAGTATTTATTTTTATTTTATAAGAAAAAAATATAAATTGTTTATATACTATATCAGCAAATTTAATGAAATATTTTGAAATAATTTACAAAATGTAAAAAAAAATATAATTTTGCATAAACTATTTCAAATTAATGCAAAATATTAAAATTACATAAACTTACATAAGAAAATTTGAAATAATTCAAAATAAATTACAAAATATTATGTGAGATTAATTTTGAAATATTTCAAAAAATATTAAAATATTTAAAATATATAAAATAAAATAAGAATATAAAAGTTTAAATTATTAAAAAACTCAATATTTTAGAAATTTAAATTAGACTATAATAAATTTAATTAATAAAAATTGAAGCAATTTAAAATAAATTAATTAAGTGCGAACAGAATCAACTAATTAAAATTTAAATTAATACATTAAATAAAATATATTAGAAATTATAAAGAGAAAGACTAGAAAAGATTTTTAGTATAATTATAAAAATATCAAAATATAAAGAATTCATTTTTCAAATATTATATAAATACTCAAATATAATAGGATTTATTTTAATAAATTTGAATTATTTTAATTTTATTAAATATAATTAAATTTATAATAATAATAACAAGCTAATTAAAAATAAATAAAAGTTTAACAAAATTTTTACTATTTTTAAAGGTCAATTAGTGACTAAAATTAAATCATTTTAATATAATTCGATCTTTGTTAATAAATTTTAAAAATTCACAACAGTACAATTTTAATCACAAAATAAATAATATAAGTAAAATTATATGTAGAATTAGAATAAGTTAATTCAAATAAAAATATAAATATTCTTAAATATAGAATATTCCGAATAAACTTGATTTAATTAATTAAATTTAAATTATATAAGTTATAGAATATTTTGAAGTTATTTGAGTTTTGTTTATTATTAATATTTGATAATTGAATTTATTTTTTTTTTTTAATATTCAGCAGTTATACCATAACTTTATTTAGATTTGTTTTATAAAAAAAACAACATTATCTGGTTGACCTTTTTAATACTTAATTTTTTAAGTTCTGACTCATCTAGTTATTCTAACAATACCTATGTACGATCTGTTATAGTAACCTTTATCCTAGATTATTATTAATATATTAAAACAAAACCAAATTCTTATAGAATGGATGCCACAGCCTATCAAAACTGCTTTTATAACCAATTAATTTTTTTAACCTCTTTAACTTCTCTTTCTATACTACTTAATACTATTCTAAGACTAATACTACTTATATCTGTATTTTCATCTACTTTGCTTTTCTTGATCTTTATTATGGTATCTTCTTTGTATTTCTTTTTCTTTTCTCTACTTATTTTCCTTCCTTCTGTCTTTTCTTTTTGCTAATACTTCTTCTTTCAAGATATGTTTTTTTTTTTCCTCAAGTTTCCATATCTTTGCATCAGCTTTTTCAAACTTCTTTATAAAACAGTTCAGACCAGTTATGCCAAAACATATACCAGAATCTAATCATCATCTTTTCTGATTTGACTATATCTTTAATTTTGAATGCCTCTTCTTTGTTAAAAATTTCTCTTAGCTATTCAGTTTGTGTTTGGCTTTTTCTCTCAGATTGTTGTTTAATACCTGCTTAAAGCTTTCGAAATCCTATTCTTTTTTTTTTTTTTTATCTTTGAAAAGTTGCTCTTATACTTTCTTTTTGATTTTTATTAAGGCTAGTTGTGACTTCTTGCATTTGATCAGATAATTGATTAATTCTTTTTCTTTTGTATACCTTTTGCAAAGACTATCTTTGTATATATATGGCTTTCTATTATTTAATACATTTACTGTTAGAAGGATATTTTCAATACACTTGATTTTGAACAGACATAAATAATTTGCTTCTGAGCTCACAAGTTGCTTACAGCAGCCTTTTAATATTCCTTTAAAGGCTTTTTACTCCTGCTTTTAGATTCTGAGTTGATGTTTCTTATCCTTCTTTTTTCTCAGCTATATCTATTCTGCTTTGTAGGTTATTTGAATAGTTCTTTTAACAAAGGCTCTTAGCAGAGTTTCCAAACTTATATTTTTCCATTCTGGAATGAATCTTATACTACTGTTACTAATACTATTAATTTCTATAATATGAGATTTTTATAAGCTTTCTTTTGTTAAGCTGTTTGCTATATTATTAAAAACATTATCTGAATAGCTTTTAACTTTAGTAAAGCTTAGTTAGATCAATTTGCTTATAATTGCTTTCTTGATTGCTCATAATATATTACCATTCTTAGCTTTGAACTATTCATATATTTTTTTAAATTTCAATTGCTACTATAGCATATGTACTATCTGTTCAAATTTCTACTTTATACTTGCTAAGTGCTAAAAGGATTGCAATTAGATATACTATTATTTCTGCACGAGTAGATGAAAACTAGTTTTGAATTCTTCCTCTATAGCTATAAACTACATTATTTATACTATCTACTTGAACTACACTATAACCTATCCTTGCTTCTTCCCTACTTTCCTTTCTCCTGAGTGAGCTATTAGTATAGAAAACTATTTTATCCTTTTCTTTGTTTGCTTCTAATATTACCTTAAGCTCTTTTCTAATTTCTGCATTCTGAATTATTTAATTAACTAATTCTATATTCTAGCTACTTTCTACTTCAATCACTTCAAAGTTTTTAAACTTTTTGAAATCTTTTGCTTTTTTCTTCTTAGTATTTTCTCTGATTTTTTCTAGAACTTCTCTATCAAATATTAGATATAGTGCATTGTCTTTTTTTCAAATATACCTTGAAATATTTTGTACTTCTTTTAGCATTACTCTTTGATTTTTGCTTTCTTTTATGAGCTTTAAATTTTCTATATATTTTTTTTCCTACAGTGTTCTTTTATCTGATTTTCTTGATCTTCTTTTCATGTTTCTACTTCAATTAACCTTTTCTCTTTTTTGATAACATGACCAATCTAACTTTTCTAGTTCTCTTTTTCTTTTACTAGTACCTATTCTTTTTTTCTTTTGTCTTTTAATATTTTTCTTCACTTCTTTGACTCGAAAATTCACCTATCTTCCTGTACTTCTCTTTAACTTCTCTTGTTTTAGTGTTTTCTAATATTTCATTTTTTAGTACTTCAAACTACTTCACTTTCTTTCCAATATATCTCTTTCCTCTGCTTATTTTGAGCTGCCTTCAGATTAGTATTCTTTCTTTTTCACTTTCAAGAAGCTGATTCACATGCCATAGGTTCAGAGCTCCTAACTCTGACTATACTTCTTTAATCTTGTTATTGCTCAAGATATTATTAATGAAATACTCATTTCTCCTTTGCAAATTTAAGATATTCTAACTTGCTATGAATTCATTCTCAACAATATTGATCTCTAATCTTTTTGCATATTATAACACTTTAGTATCTAGATTTCTGTATTTAATTCTTTTCTATTTTGCATCATCTGATGAAAAAATACATTCTGGTATATTTATATCTAGTTGAAACTATTTCAGTCTCATAAGTGTTATTGTTCCTACTATATCATTTGTATTTATTCTTATGAACAATTTGAATATATAATATTCTACATGCTTTTGCTATAAGTTTATTATACCAAAAATTTCTTTATATAATATAGTAGTATTTGCACATGTTAAAGGTAGCTCTATCTTCTACTTTAATAGCCTAAGCATAGATTAGTAGATTGTGTTATAGTCTTTTTTCTTAAGACATACATTTGCGAGCAGATATTCAAGCTTTAGTAGTAATACTATATTATTTATATAAATAATTTGGCTTGCTGAAAGCTTTTTATTTCTTAGTATATTTGTTATTTTGCTTACTTCTTTTTTATATCACAGAGTACTTGTCTTTTCTTGCTTCTTAAGGCTGATCTATATTTCTAAAAATCTTGTACTTTCCTCAGCTTTTTTGACTTTAACTATACTAGATGGTATTCCTATTCATATCAAGTCTTTTGTTTTTCCTTTTTTGTTAGATTACCAAGCTATCACTTCTGATTTTGAACTATTTATTTCAATATCATTAAGCTTAAAGAAGCTATTTGACATATGAATGATTTCTTGTAAGGTCTCTTTTGACTCAGCTACCCATATTGTATTATCTGCATAGGCTAATACAGATTCTATAATTATTTTAGTTTTGAACTTATTTCTTTTAATATCTGTTAGCTATTAGATCCTCATTTGATATCTAATTCTCAATTACTATATTCTTACTAGTAATAGATCATAGAAGATTCTCTATATTAATAATGAAATTACTTCTTCTTGATTTATTCTATCACCTGCTATGAAGAATTTTGTTAGTCCTTCTTCTGTTATTATTCTTATTTCATGATCTTGATATAACTGTTTAATAAAGTTA